AGCTCTTATCTGTACCAGTGTACATCCTCTGGTCTAGCTGAATTTGTAAGGTAGAATTGGGATCATGATAGTGGTGGGAAGGAAGCATTAAAGAACTAGAGGAAAGTTGTATATTTCATCAGTGCTATGCTGCACCCTGACTGTCTTGTCTCCTCCCCACAACCCTTCTCTAAGGGAATATCCAGTTGCCTACACATGGGCTTTGGGTCTCTACTCCACACTTCCCCTTATTCACAATATGATTTTTCTGTCCTTTGATGCCTGATACCTGATCCTATCAACTCCTTGTTATCACACAGGCTGGTGTACTTCTTCCATGTGGGCTTTGTTGCTTTTCAGTTAGATGGCCGCTTGTTTATCTTCAAGCCTTTAAGACCCCAGACACTATATCTTTTATTTATCTCCTAATCACACTCTGCTCAATATTTGGGGGGATACTCTTCTGTGCTCTTGTTTGACGTTTCACATGTTTGTCTTGTTTCCCAATTTGCTTTTAATCTCCTAGAGGAAAAAAGGTGTTTCTTTTGTTTTTGTATTTCCCTTTTAGGTAGACTGGGACTCTACCAGGGGTGTTGATTATATGCATGAAATCACTTATCAGACAGAGATAGATTTTACAAATTGGGGCTTTTGCAACATATGGATAGTATAAGATGCATTAGATCTTTGATGCTCCTTTTCCAATGGTTAGCTCACTTTTGAGCTCTCTGTTCATGGCTATCTCCATTCAGGCGATAATAGAAGAGGTGTAGAAAAATGTAATCATTCCATAGGACTTGTGGCTGGCAGCTTTATGGTAAACTAGAGTAGAAAACCACATATATGAGGAAGATGAAGTTGAGAAGTTAACCATGGTGCCTACTTGACACTGTTATTACCAGTCCCCAGGATCAGTAATAATGCATTGATTACAAGGAACCCTCTCTAACCATCTATCTCAGACTGGGTTCTGTAGAGAAGCAAAATCAGTGAAAGTCAAAGTTCAGACAGGTACCAATTTTGTAGGTCAGATGTTCACCTGGAGGCTTCTCTTGACACATTGCTATAGGGGCTGATGAACCCAAGAGCAGCAGGAATGTCACAGGCTGGTGGCTGCAGAGTTATATGAATCCAAGTTCAGACATCAGGCTTGTGGATGCAGAGGCAAATAAATCCAAGGTCAGCAAGTCAGATGTCAGGTCACTGAAAACTCCCAGTATTAGTAAGCAATATGTTAGGCCATTGGATCAAACTGAAAGAACCAGCTTCAAAGAACCAGTTCAATGAGCCTGATGCAGGATTCAGAGCCAGTATAAAGCTATGCAAACTTTTCCATAGTGTACATTTATATTGGAAGCAGGACATACCCCCAAGGAAATTTCCTTTCAATTTCATTAGGGCTGTGATTTAAGGAAGGATATTGCATCCCATCTTAATATTTTTACAGCTGTTTGGCTGCTCATAGCAGATCCCATAATGGAGTTGATTACAATGTATTAGGTTAAGATCATGGGGGATTACTAGGTCTTAACTCTCAAACCCCTGAGATTCCTAGCCCAGCCAAGTTGACACAAACCTATTACACTCTCTACATATAGAGATCTCATGAGCTTGTAATAGTGAAAATATAAACTTGTAAATAATAAAAACCTCTAGATCAATACTAAACAATAGAAATAGAAAACCACATTAAAAAGAAAAGCAAAAGAACTGATTTTCTTAGGTTGGATTCTCTAGAGAAGCAAAACCAATAAAGCTCACAAATGTACATATGTTGGGCACCATTCTCACAATTGTCCTTATGTTTGTGCCCATTGCATATAAATGTATATATATTAAAAAACAAATTTATAGCCATTGAGTCAATGTTAACTCGTTGTGATCCTATAGGACAGTGTGAGTTCCTGAGACTGTAAATCTTATGGGAGTAGAAAGCCCCATCTTCCTCCCACAGAGTAGCTGGTGGTTTCTAACTGCTGACTTTGCTGATCACAATCCAACTTTTAAGGACTATGCCACCAGGGCTCCTTAAATTTACATATGGATGAGTTATAATCAAGGAGTAGCTCACATAGTTGTAGTGGTGGGAATGTTCCAAGTCAGTGGATCAGATATAAAACTGGAAGATTTTCCTGACTCACATAGGGTCTAAAGAACTTCAAAATAGGCAGGTCAAAAGCAAGTTTCTGCACCTAGGTCTGTTCCCCCCTTAATCTTAAATATATTTACATATGTACATGTCTGTATTTAGGCTTGTATATATGCCCTTTGCCTCCTACTTCTTTCCTCTATTTCTTTACGCTTTCCTCCTGTCCCAATACCATGTTCAGTCTTCATTCTGGCTTCTATAATTATTGGTTTGGTAGTGGGGTGGCAGGTGGACATTGGGCCTTCTCATGCGCACTCCCCTAATACAAGAGCACCTTGCTCAGCTAAACGGTAATTTTATATCTACCTTCCCGACATGATCGCTGAAGACAGATGTGTGCATAAGAAAATGTGGTGAAGAAAGCTGATGGTGCCCGGCTATCAAAAGATATAGCGTCTGGGGTCTTAACGGCTTGTAGGAAAACAAGCGGCCATCTAGCTCAGAAACAACAAAACCCACAGAGAAGAAGCACACGAGCCTGTGCGAACACGAAGTGTTGAAGGGAACAGGCAGCAGACACCAAATAACAAAAACCATCATTGTGTGACCACCTTCCACGCATAAACGCTGAAGATGAATGTGTGCATAAGTAAGTGTGGTGAAGAAGGCTGATTGTGCCCGGCTATCGAGACCTATAGCGTCTGGGGACTTAAAGGCTTGAAAGTAAACAAGTGGCCATCAAGCCCAGAAGCAACAAAGCCCACATGGAAGCAGCACACCAACATGTGTGATCATGAAGGGCCAAAGGGACCAGGCTTTAAACACCAAAGGCGGGGAGAAAAGTCATATCCTTGTCAATGAGGGTGGCGCGTGATGGAGACCCAATGCCCATCTCTAGACAACTGGACATACTTTGCAGAGGGGTAGTGGGGAGATGAGTCACTTAGGGTACAGTATAGCAATAATGAAACCCACAACCTTCCTCTAGTTCTTAAACACTTCCTCCCCCCAACTACCAGAACCCCAATTTTGCCTTGCAGACCTGGTTAGACCAGATGAAGCACAGCGATACAGATGGGAATTGGAAACGCAGGGAATCTAGGACAGAAGAACCTCTCAGGATCAGGGGTGACAGTGGTGATACCAGGAGGGAGGGAAAGGGGAGGTAGTATATAACAGGGAGCCACATATAACCTCCTCTCTGGGGGATGGGCA